TATATATATATATATATCGTTGTTTACAAAACACAAAGTAGGAAACTAACATAAAATATGATACTAGCACAAACTTGCAAAACGTATTTTAGGACTCTTGTGATTTCATTTATATAATGTAGTGAAAATAGAAACGTAAAATATATTTTTCAACACAAACTAGCATAAAGTTTTATCAATTATCTAAAAAACAAATGACAAATCAACTACAAATTAATATGGTCCTCAACTATCACATATGAGGAAATAGCTCGCTCAGCGCATAGACCCGTGCGCTCAGCCCATTTCAAAATGCGCTCAGCCCATGGCTAAATGCGCTCAGCGCGCTCTAAACAAAAAGATTTGTTCTTTAGTGCGCTCAGGGCATCGTCGCGTGCGCTCAGAGCGCATGCATCAAACAACGCATCAGAAATTCGAAAACTCCGATTTTCACCCCCAAAATCCATCCAAAATGAATCTCAAACCAAATTTATACAATTCGGAACCATTATAGAGTATAAACACCATCCAAAAACAACATATTAAGTGATAAAAATAAGTATTAACCATTAATCCATGAAAATCGTAGGAAATCATGAAGAACCCTAACCAAACCCTCTCCAAGTCAATTCAACCTCAATCATGCGTAAAACATGGAATCAATATGATATTTCAACTCCATACATACTAGATTAAGTCTTATAAGTACTACTCTTACCTCAGAAACCTCAGAAATGCAAGATTTGAACAAAACCCTCAAATCCCAATTCAAACTTCAATCTCACTTTTCAAGCTTTTAGAGGCTAAATCTCTTGATACTCTAATTGTGAAGATTGATCCTAGCTTAATAAACTTCCCAAATGTGTCCTCAGCTTCCTTCCAGACCAAAGCCTCTCTCTCTACTTCCTCTCTCTAGAATTGTCTATGTCTGACAAATGAAATCCTCAAATGCGCTCAGCCCATGGCTAAATGCGCTCAGCGCGCTCTAAACAAAAAGATTTGTTCTTTAGTGCGCTCAGGGCATCGTCGCGTGCGCTCAGAGCGCATGCATCAAACAACGCATCAGAAATTCGAAAACTCCGATTTTCACCCCCAAAATCCATCCAAAATGAATCTCAAACCAAATTTATACAATTCGGAACCATTATAGAGTATAAACACCATCCAAAAACAACATATTAAGTGATAAAAATAAGTATTAACCATTAATCCATGAAAATCGTAGGAAATCATGAAGAACCCTAACCAAACCCTCTCCAAGTCAATTCAACCTCAATCATGCGTAAAACATGGAATCAATATGATATTTCAACTCCATACATACTAGATTAAGTCTTATAAGTACTACTCTTACCTCAGAAACCTCAGAAATGCAAGATTTGAACAAAACCCTCAAATCCCAATTCAAACTTCAATCTCACTTTTCAAGCTTTTAGAGGCTAAATCTCTTGATACTCTAATTGTGAAGATTGATCCTAGCTTAATAAACTTCCCAAATGTGTCCTCAGCTTCCTTCCAGACCAAAGCCTCTCTCTCTACTTCCTCTCTCTAGAATTGTCTATGTCTGACAAATGAAATCCTCAGGTCCTAAGTCCCTATATATAGCCATTTTCCAAAATTTCCAAATTTTACCCTTAGCACTTATTCACCTCAAATATCCTACTCCTTGAAGTATTTCAACTCCCTAAGCTCTAAAACAACCTCAAATTCACTCAGAAAGACTAGATTTATCTTATGTTCCTATCCTTCAATCTCCTACCATTCCTAATTTTTTCCATGCAATACTCACAACTCACCACCATTAACATGCAAACAAACATCACATTCATATACATATTCTTGGAATAATGAGTTGCATGCCATAATACTTAACTTAACTAAGATGAGAAGGAAGGTGATAAGTCTTCTTCCCTCTTAGTACTAATTCAGTATAATGGTGTACAATGCATCATTCACCACATTCATGATACACATGCCTATATAAACACCTCAAAACAACAATATCTCATATCATACTACAAAATCACTACCATGTCCAAACAACTAATCAAAACCATATAATTATACAACATGCACAAAGATAAGTACATTTCAAATCCACACCTCTAGAATCCAATGCAATCCATATAAACAACATACACATACATACATGCGTATATATACATAAAGTATATCTACCAAATAGTTCGGTATTTCCATGGCGTTACAAGAGGAATGAGATGTAGGTGGACACATCATACTATGATTTGATGCATGTAAAGATAAAGGTTGAGTGCTTCTATTATGAAGAGTGGCTGAAACTTGGCCAAAAGAGCCACTTAGGGTCATACTTGGTGCTCCACTAGTCTTCAGGTATCTTAAAAACAATGACATTAGTATAAGTGATATCACCAGTTTAATATATCATAGTAAATAAAATGCATACATGAATAATAAAGATGATATGAAAACATGATTAGAATATAAAATAGAAGTTAAAATTTAAGACCTTATTAATGGTATATTTCCTTCCCCATTTGGAAAAAACATGTCTAAATTTTGTTGTTCAAATGGCTCACATTCATGAAAAATGTCATCTTCTCCACCCATGTCATACAAGTCTCATGACTTTACATGTACAAGTATAATCCAATTTTTATCTAATTCATCCTCTACATAGTAAACTGTTTGAGCTTCTGAAACCTGGATGATGGCTCATCATCATTATCACTGTGTGTATCAAATATCCAAAATTTACTAATGTAAATCCCAAGTCATCTTTCACAATCCCTCTTGAAGTTGTTGTATTAGCCCACATGCACTTGAACAAAGTAACTAAAAATTGACCTTGGTAGTTTATCTCAATTATGTCTACCAATTTCCAATAATAAGGCACCCCCCCATCAAATTACATTTGGTTGTCACTACTACTAGAATGACTCCTTGTGCCAAATGTACCAAATATTCCACTATTTTGTGTTTTAACTCCATGATTTCTCTCCAATGTATGAAACTTGAATCCATTTACATTGTATGCACTATACCGTTTTGCATAATCAATTCGGCCCATAGCTAAAATCTTTAAGTCATCTAAATAGGATCCATTTGAATCATTTCTTATCTAAAAGAAAAACAAATCAACTGTAATAAAAAATTATATAAGAAAAAATAAAACTTGAACTATGTAAATCTACATACACGATGTGAGAACCATTCAACAAATTCTCTATTAACTCTTTTATCTATCGTAGTTGATGATTGTGTGTGACTTCTCATTTGTCTCTGAAGAATATCTCTATATTCCATATGATAAGTATATGAATACAAATTAGCATTCAAGTGGAGACCAATTATAGCGAATTGTAAGGTCAAAGTATTTACCGAATAAATGGGTCAACTTTCACACAATTAGTCAATACATGACAATGTGCCTGTAACATTTCCTTTGCAGATAAAGTGAAGTAAGTATAACCATCAACTGGTTTTCTAGTAGGTGGAAGCAAAGTTCTTTGACTATGTGAAACATTAGCAAGATCATCATTAGCATGACCCATTAGATTGAATACAATCTCAATTCCATCTAAATATCTAGAGCAAAATGTTCTCTTCAGCCATGTAGCCTTCAGCTATTGATCCTTCAAGTTGAGCTCTATTAAACACATAAGACTTTAGTTTTCCTAAGTACTTCTCAATGGGATACATCCATCGATATTGGATGGGTCATCAAATGAACCATGACAGTAAAAAAATGAAGATGAAAATAACATTCCCATGTGACATAATGTGAGAACAACTCTATTCTATAGTTGGTCAAGTTCATTGACTTTTAAAACTTTATTACACAATTGTCTAAAAAATGAACACAAATCAATCAAAATAGAACACACTTTCTTCAGGAAGTGTCTTTTTCATTGCAAAAGGTAGAAGTTGCTCCATTAAAACATGCAAGTAATGAGTTTACATTCCTCTAAGCTTTCGCTGATTGAGATCAATGCATCTACTAATGTTATTCAAGTAGCCATATAGAAAAATAATGTTCTTCAAAGTTCTGATCACGAGTGAGAGTCTTAAGATCACGCGCTTCAAATATGGTGGTGGCTTTCGGTTCCTAGATCCTTGGAAGGCTATCCAGAATCTTAATATTTTTCTAAGCTTTGGAGAACTCAATTCTTAGAATTTTAACCCATTTAGAATTGTTTAGAATCTTCCAAAAATTTCATTAATGGTTTCATTCTTCTTCATGGAGAACAACTCATAGTGTCTCTAAAGAGTAGTAGCTCGTTTGAGCATAACATCTATAGTGGCCTCATGAGCTATTCTGATAGCTTCCTATATCTCATTGAATTTTTGCTGCTGTAGAACTTTTTTATTCAGTTCTAGGCAAAGAGCAAGCCAAGATGTATTTGGCTTTAGTGTTGAGTTGTTGAATATTATAGTCTTCCTGCATGTACTCACTTTTAGCCTTGCTCAAGACAACATCACCTCCTATGATGATCTTCACAATGTGGCATTGGGTGGACTTGATGGAATCACACTAAGGCCAAGAAGACCAAGAGGTGATATATTGAAGGAGACAAGAGGAATGGGTTAGTTTTGAAAACCATGAGAGGAGTGGGATTACTTTTGGGCCTTAGCTCCTAAGTTTTTATTAGTATAGGATTTATTCCTATTTTTGCCCTTGTCTTTAATTTCCTATTTTACCCTTGTATTTTGGGTACCTTAGACATAGGATTTATTTTTCTTGTATTTCCTATTTTACCCTTGTATTTTGGGGTGTCTTAGTCATATGATTTATTTTTACTTGTATTTCCCATTTTATCCTTGTATTATGGGGTGTCTTAGATTATTGGATTTTATTTTATAGCTAGGGTATTTTATTAAGGTTGGAAACTAGGCCTAGACATGTTTTTTGGTGGCATTGGATTTATTTTTGAACTTGGCAAGGCTTAGGCCCAAGTGGAGGGCACCTAGGTTGCATGGTCTTATCATGCACCTAGATGTAGCTTAACCAAACCCAAAGATTTCATCCTTGGCCACCAAGTAACATCTAGGGTTAATTTAGATTTTATTTGAAGTGCATTTGGATTGCATTACTTGGCCATGCACTCTCAAATGTAACCCTAAATGCATTCTCCCTTCTATAAATACCTTAGGCTAGCCTCCTTGTAAATACTTTGGAATTTATAATATTGAGTGAGCCTTATGCCTTAATATTTTCCTTAGTCACTCTTGGCTAATATTTGGCCAAACCCTACCTATCTTCATCTTGAGAGAAACCCTAGAAGTGGCCTTCATCATCCATGGAGTGAGTCAAACCCTAGAGTACCTTCTCAAGCCTTTCATCAAACACCTTCACCCCACTCTCCATTTTCGCCCATTCCACCATATTCCTTCTCCAAACTTGACGCCACCCTTGAGGGACTTGATCCAAGAAGTCAAGTGTCCTCACATTGATCAACCAATCCATCAATGCAAGCAAGGATGCCATCAGGACTTGACGAACATATCCTTTTTTTCCTTCTAATAAAGGAAGTTATTTGTTGGGTGACATTAATTATCCCATGGCAGAGGCCTAGGTAGGTCAAGTCACAACTAACATGTGGCACTTGGGCTACTATGGTTAAGTAGAAAGAGTTGCATTTCGACTAACAACTATAGCTTTTGGCCTAATGGTAAACACTTGATCCAACAATTGGTATCAAAGCCAAGGTTGCGTGTTTGATTCTTAGCGGGAGTAATTATTGAAGGGGAGATTGTTTGTTGGGTGGTAACAAGTGTCCCATGGTTGATACCCAGATGGGTCAAGTCACAATCAACATGTGGCGCTTGGGCTACTACGATTAAGTAGAAAGTTTTGTGCCATAACTAATAGCTATAGCTTTTAGCCTAGTGGTAAGAGCTTGATCCAATAATAGTCTTCTCCATTAAAAGTTGGAAGCCTTGTAAGAGAAGTTCATTCTAGTAAGTACTGACCTTCGCTGCTTCCCATCATAGAATCTTTTCCTTTAGCATGGTTAGATGCTCAACCTCGTAAAAGGTTGAGTTTTGATACCAAACTATGGAGAGAGAGAAAAAAGACACTAGAAAGAGGGTTTAATAGTGTCAATCAAAACACACTTTTTCAAAATAGTGAAGTAGTATCGTTACAGCAAGCAGTGTAGACAAAAATATGAGAAAATGAACACAAGGTATTTTCATATTGGTTCGTCTCAACCACTAAGACTACGTCCAGTTCTTAATTCAATTAGATCAAGTTCCACTATCTTATATAGAGATACAAGTATTTTTTTCCCTAGCCACTTCTGGCTCAAACATAAGTGTTCTTTGACTTGCCTCTTCAAGAAACTACCCAAGTATTCTTATAACAGATAATCTCTCTAGGCTTTAACAACCAAGTATTCTTTTACTAACAAGTCTCTCCAAGCTCAAAATAATAACACTAAGTTATAGTTGGGTAAGATAACAATGTTGTTTCGTCTTACATTCAAGGCGTGATACAACCAATATAATATAGAGTTGGTTTACAAAAAGAATGAATATGAATATGTTCAATAAAAATGGTTCTCTTCTTTCTTTCTAAATCATCATGCTTCCTTATATAGGTGTTTCAATGAAGATGACCATGAAAAATCCTTGAGTATCTCTCACGGACTTGTTTCATCTATCTTCATCTTAGTTCCTTGTGGAGAGAAGTGTTTATTGGTGCATTAAATGCTTTTATTAAATGCATTTTACTAAATTGTCATTTCTTATTTGATCAAGGAAGCTAATTATTACCTTTTAGGTACAAAACAAGTGGAACCATGTATGTGTCAAGTTAGAGCAATTCTGAACAAATTTATTTGGCATTTTTGTGATTCAATGGATCTGCTTTGTTGGTCCCAGGTAGAACACGAATCTAGAAGGGGCGGTTGAATAGATTCTACACTAAAAGGCTTCTATTGGTTTTTCTTGCTTTCTTGCTAATTTCTTTCTTTCTTATACAACTTTTTATTAATCACATTCAAATTACAAACCAAATAAGATACAAAGTATATCAGATTTACACAGCGGAATAGATATTGTAATCCAAATTGATTTTAGTAATTACCTTCCTTCACTTTATTACCAAATTGCATATATCATATCAGATTTCACAAATCAGCAATCTATAATATTCAAGAAAACATTTCTTTTACTTTCTTGAAATTATTTTTAACAATTCAATATGAATTATAACAAGATATGAAGGTAGAGAGAGAAATTTCAAAGTGATCTATATTGGTTCAGCCATATAAAGGCCTATATCCAGTTTTCGACTTAGCTCTCCGCTAAATCCAGTCTTTTTACTATAATATTCTTTACAAACACCATGTACAAGAAGTATTATAATCAGAAAATACAATCACCTAATCTTGATCCCACAAGATTATACAATCACCAGAATTCTTGCACCTCAAGAATCCACTTGATGAAACCTACCTCAAGATTTCTCTTTCACTCTTACATGAGATACCCTTATCTCAAAGAGTCACATACCATATTATACCCAACTATACAAACAAGAGTAACAAGATCAGAAAAGATACACCTGTAGTGCAGATTGATCTTACACAATGAATTGTTCAACTTTCTTGAATTTCTTGAACTTATTTCAAGATAACATCTTAATTTCTTGAGTTTCTTTACTCTTAAATTATTCTGAAAATATTTTATCTTCTCTCAAAAAATGATTTTCTGATTCTTGAAAATGTTTTTCTTTATATCACTTTTTCCATGTATCTTTTCACATTCTTTTTTTAGTTTTCAAAAAGAATTATATTTATAGAGAAAATAAGATTTCAACATTAAAAACTCGTAATAGTAATAATCTATTACCAATATCAGGTAATCTATTACCAGTTTTTAATGAGAATTGAAATCTGTGAAATAAAAATAGAGGTAATCGATTATTGGTCTTGGTAATCGATTATATCGAGTCCTAGAAATTATAGAACTCATTTTTCAACAGAAGTAATCGATAACTGAAGTTGGTAATCGATTATCTCGATGATTTTTCAACTTGTTTCACTTGTTTTCACTCAAAAGTCACCATGGTAATCAACTACATGAATAGGTAATCAATTATCATAGAGAGGATGTTGAATTCCACTTCAAAACTAAGTTTCAGTAATCTATTACCTCACATGGTAATCTATTACCAGACTTAATCATGAATTCTTTTGAATGAACCAAGTTTCATTTTATGTCAAAATACATTGTAATCTCTTACATTATGTTTTCACAAGAAATGAGAAACATTAAGTTGAAATATGAGTTTTATGTTTTCTAAAATAAGATGTAATTTTGAAATTAATTCATCACAATAAGCAAGCACATCCAAGCCTAAGTCTAATAACAAGCAATACATTATCTTTTTCAACATAGGCCATGAAATACAAAAATGAATGAAGCAAACTAAATAAATCTATACAAATTTAATGCTAACATCATCAAGACTAAAACTTCTTCAGTCTTCATAAAGATCTTCATGAGAGACTTCAGTAATTGACTCAGTAATTAACTCAAGAATCTTTAATAAACTCAACAATCTCAACATGCTTGTCTTTTCTGACACAAAACATGTCTTTTGTTCCTTTTAGTTGAATGTAAGTACTGAGGAAGTTTTTTCATTTCATCTATTAAGGAATCATATAGATACAAGCAATTATTAAATATCATAAATGATATAAAATCAAAATGTGTCTTTCAGACTAAGTACTTCATTTGACTAGATAACTTGATCGTCTTAGTGTCCAATTCATCTCTGTGCTTTATTCACAAAACTTCTCAAGAAAAACATCTATATTTATTGAAATTAAAACATGAACTTTTCAGTTTATTTTTTGACCTAACTATATAATAAAATGAATTTTTAATTTATTAAAATCTTTCTTATTAGAAAAGTTAGAATGTACTTTTTTAATTAATATGCAAGTCATTTTGACACTAAGTCTTGGGATTTTTATCAAGTATCTCTTCCATGCTTTTTGATTTTATAAAGAGTAAATTCCATCAACATTTTCAACAGTGTTATAAAATTGTGTGTGTTGTTACATTAACAATTTTTATTAAAAAATTGTCAATAGACTAACTAATTGTGAATTGAGAAAATATGAGGACCAAATATGCAATAAAAAAATTGATTAAAACTATACAATTAAAAAATCACAAGAACAAAAATTGAATTAAAGTCATTTTTGTATTTGATTCATGTTTAGAAATTCCTTAGATGTGTCCATTTGATTATGTCTTTTACTTGTTCTTCTCAGTTTTTTCTTTTCTTATTTTCTTTCATTTGTCAAACTATTTAAATCATCTTACTTTAACCTTTGATATATTAATTTATTCTATGTCAAAATGACCAACATTCTGTTTTTTTTTCCAAATGATTGTAATTTTAGTTGAAGTTTCTTAATTACTTTCTTTTATTTATATTAATTGGCTTGCTTTTCTATTAGTCTATTTATCAATTATATTTGAGATATTGGTTTGGAGGAGATTTCTTTTCAGGAAGCGATAACAAAAGTCAATAATTTGCTTATCTGATAGATAATATTATTTCATAAACTCTAACTAAATTTTCGATGAACTGGACAGCATATACATTAAATTTTTTTCAATTTACCTTGATTAACTAGATTGGAATTAATTTTCATTTTAGTTTATCTTTCAAAGATATGATAATAAAATTTAAAAAAAAAAAAATAAAAAAAAAAAAAAAAAAAAAAAAAAAAAAAACAACAACAACAACAATGGATGATACAAGTGGTTGTGTCATGTGTTATTTAACTAAGTTGTCTATGGAATAGATTATGGTAAGAGAAAATTCCTTTTCAGGAAGCGATGTCAATAATTTGCTTATTTATTTATGTACATTGATTTTTTTTTTCGACTTACCTATTGATTAACTATATTAGAATTAATTTCTATTATAATTCATCTTTCAAAGATACAATAATAAAATAAAAAAATCAATATTGGTTGGTACAAGTAATTGTGATATGTGTCTTTTAATTAAGTTATCAAAGATTTAATTCATAATTTTAGATATGACATAGACTATGTTAAAAAGAAAAATACCCATATTAAATATTTATGATTTCGAACATCAATTAGTCATTATTTTTAAGTGGTAAATTCTTTATATTAATATCGTGATTACTAAAATAATACAAATAATAATATAGAAGAAAAAAAAAAGAGAAAATGAAACATATGTACTTCAAAGGAGACAAAACCTCATTTACCCTATAAAATCGTGCTTATCCTGACTTGAGCGTCGGAGTGCCTTTTGCAGGTACCTCGCCCCTCTGAAGAATCCACTTGAAGCTCTCGTTCGGCCCTCCTACACCCCAGAAGACTACGAGTGTACTCTCATGCAGGTACATAAACAGACAATATAAAACAGTTGTACAACTTTTACACTTTGCATCTCCAATTGATAGATATTATTTATACTTAAATGATTAACAACTTTTCAGTATGGTCTGCAATAAGCATTAATTGAATTTGAATCATAAAAATACTACTATATGATCGTGAGAAAGAGAGAGCAAATTTAATACCTTGATTGTTGTCCCTGAGGCAAATTTTGTGATGGTCTCAATGTACCCCCTGAAGAGCAAGCGACTATTATCTTTGCACTTTTATCTAGTTTTGCTTCAACATCTGCTAGCACCAATCAAATGTTTTCTTAGAGGAAACAAACAGTTGCATGAACTAAGGATATGTGTGATAGTTAAGTTTATCTTACTCTTGATGAACTCAGGGTTCTCTTCTGTACCAGCAAAAATGCCAAAAAATGCAAATGCAGCACGCCTAGCAATGTCCCATGCTGTCCACTCTTTTATTAGTCTATATACTTGCACATTGATTGCACCTGGAGGATGTGCCTACACCATAATTTCTTTTATTCATAGGAATTACATCAACCGTAACAGGGTTTGAACATGGATATTTGTTTTCCAAATGTAACAATTACTTTGATGTGTATGGGGGGTTTCACACACATGTTTCCACATTGATAAAATATTGTTCGTGTTAGACCTAAGTCCTCACAATTTTATTTTTGAACATCATCCAAAATAACTCTTATCAATGGATACTTATATATGTATATAAACTCATGTTCATTTTTATGTTATAAGGATGTTAGACTTTGATTGTATTCCAAAATACTTAAAAAACAACTTATATATAGTTCTATAAATGTTTTTGGTGTTATTTTCTTATGAGAATCAAAGTTTCACCTCAATAATTTGTATCACATTGAATAGAAACATTTGTTGTAAGAGAAAATTTCAAAAACATCTAAATCTGCATCTATGTTTTGTTCACACTGACCTCTTTGAACTGTGCTTCTGGCCTTACATCAAGCAACACAAAGTTATTTTCTTTCTGAAGGCGCAGAGCTTCCTTTACTTCCACACTCCTTACCTGTAACATTATACAACTTAAGATTCATTACAGCAATACACATTATGCGTATAATAAAAACATGAATTCACATTCTCTCAATTTCCTCACATGACCCTGATATACGTGTAATTATCATATACAGCAATTATTTTCTGTGACCCTTTGTCCCCATTGCATTACCTCTGCTAGTTTAGTAATGAAGAATTTTATGATTTATATTATGATGCTGATAATGGTAAGGAATTTCACATGCTTCAAAAATCAAAAGCCATTCGTAAATCATGTCACCATGTAAATTTTAAAAGTTAGCATTGATCTTGATATTTCTTAGTGATCCTTTAAATTAGTGAAGTGTTTTCTTTGATTAATAACTTTATATTGTGTTTGGATTAGAAATTTAAAAAATTTTAAAAATTTGAAATTTTTAAAATTAGAATTACTTTGATTTCAATTTTCATCGTTTTTTAAATATTTTGTTTGAATAAGATAATTTAAATTTTTTAAATTTTAAATTTTTTAATAAGATATAATAATTTGATTTTTACTATAAATAAAATTGATTATATATATATTGAGATTTTAAAATTAAATTTAATAAAAATAAATATTAGTCTATTTTTAAATATTTAATAATTTTAAAAATTATCATTTAAATAATAT